GGCCGACCCCAATAGCAGCAGTTTCAAAAGGCCGGATGGAGAAATGAATATTGCGTCCGGATGTCCACGCTTCGTGTCGCACACGGTCCTGGAGAACACAAAGAACACCTACATCAGAGACGACACTCTCTTTTTGAAAGTGGTTGTGGATTTAACCGATCTGGAGGAATTGTGAAAAGCGTACCCAATCAATGTTACTGCTTTAACTGTTAAGAAATGCTTTCTTGGTGACTACCAGCCATGCAGTAGTGAATTGCCACTAGTCAAGCTACTGATAATGTCCCGAGGCTTTCGGACTGCGTAACAGACAATGAATTGCCAAAGCATCAGCCTTTCCTTTCTTAACCTTTTTTTCAAGATGGCATTTTTAAGGCAGCTAGAAGTCCAGTTGGATGCGAACATGCATTCCATCCAGACCTGGCTCAGTCTGGGCTGGGGGGAATGCATGGCTCCCATCACCAGACTGGTGTTTGGAGATGAAACTCCCCCAGTAAGCCCCGTGGAGCCCAAGCAGGTCTGTGGGCTCCCGTCCCTCACACAGAACTGATACCGTGCCCAAGCATGCAAGTGCATTTCACCTGTCTGAAATGGAAATGTTTCAACACGAGCACATTTGAATCAGTGTCTTATGATCCCTCCATCTCCTGGATTTTTGAAGCGGGGAGAATGGCTTCAGCCAGGCAGGAAAAACATTTGCCTGGGATCTTGCATCTTTTTTTTTTTTTTTTTTTTTTTTTTGTTACAATTGCTTTTTCCAGAAAGCCCAGAGGAAGATGCCAATGCCTCTTAACTTTTCTAGCCTGACATTTCAGCTGTACAGAGTACCCCCAGGTCACAACAGCTTTGTTATGTCCTTTCCGTTCCTGCCTAGTGCCTTGGGACTGATTTCCATTGGTGGTAAACATCCACAGTCCCCACCTGAAGTCAAAAGAAGCCGCAGGCGCTTCTCACCTCTCAGGACACGGCCAGAAGCAGGGTACTCGTCTGACCTGCCAGCTCTTGTCTGCACTGCTGGACGAAGAGGGGCAAAACTCCTGTACTTTTGCTCCCGCATCTGCACAAAAGAGATGTTTTTTGGCCTACCAGCTCTGTGGAAGGCAGGAAGAGCTTTGGATATCTGCTTGAGAAAAAGCCCACATAACATGCACTGTTCCTCTCTGCTAGAAACAGGGATGTTTGGGAAAGAAGGAGGAAAATGGACTAGGGAGCGAGGTTGCCACAATAACCCAGTTCTCACAGGTAATACAGCTCTGGCATTTGTTAAAAGGCGAGACACCTGCTAAGAAACGACCGCTAACTCTGAAGTACATCTGAAGATCTTAATTTTTACTCCAAGTTCCCTTCAAGGGAACATGCGCATTGTATGGGGCTTATTGGAGACGCACTGAAACCACCGAGGTCAGGCACTGGGGAGCAAGTGACAGAGAATACTCGTGCCTTCTTAAAGCCTTTTGGGTGCCTGTAAGAGGGATGTAGTTTTGCACACTCGGTCATTTTGTTATGACAGGTGACAGAACTTTTTGTGTCTCTCGTCTCTCACAGATCAGGTAGTGAAACACCGCAACGTTATCCATTGCTCCTGCAGTCCACTGGCAGAGCAAACCCGGAGCTTGTCAAGGGATGGCAAGAAACCGACCTGGGTTTAGAGCGAGACTAAACTAGGCAGGATAAAAATCTAAAAGGGGCACAGACTGCAAGGTATAAGGTAGAAAACTCAAGAGGGCAAATGTGGCAAAATCAAAAATGCCCTTTCTCTGCAGGATGCTGATATCAACCGAAATAAGACAATTTGGGGATTGAGGAGATGAAGGCAAAATACTGTATTTTATATCTGCAATCTCCTTGCTAGGCATTTACTTTCCCACACGGTTTCTAGTACGTAATTCAGACACAAATATTTTCAAATTTGGGGGCGGGAGGGAAGAGACCTTAGTTATCTGTACCTCATGGTGAGTTAGCACATCCGAAACCTTCGTTTTGATCAAGATGTCCTTTTTGTTGTACAATGTCAGGATGTACTGGGCCACTGTAGGGGTTTTCCGTGTTCCCAGGGACAGATGGTGAGGGACAGATTTTATTCTTTTGTACGGCCATGAGTGACTTATTTAAGAGTCATTTTGGCTGTACAATGGCAAGAATTAGGCCTCGTGTGCTTAACACTTCATTAGAGAAAGAGCAAGCTTGGTTTGAAAATGGTGTGGCATTCTAGGACATCGATCCCGAGCCTCGGACGTGGACTTCATGTCGATTGTTACTTTAATATTTGTCATGTAACTTTCAAAGTGACGCAACTTGTATAATAACCACTAATACCTGACGGAAACGGACCACCCGTGTTTCGTGGGACTTTCCAGTACGTTCAGTGTGAAATACAGAAAGCGATAAAAAACTTGGACAATCAAGGGAGGTGGGAGGGAAAGGATGCGGTCTGTGTCCTGGCAAATTCCCAGCCCTCTCCGCCTCTACCACCCCAAGCATAAAATAGGGATAATAGGACTTGCAGAAGCGTTAGGACTATTTAAATGTTTATGAAGAATTTTGAGCATGAAAAGAGCTAAGTATTATTAAAATTCCATTTCTAATTGTTAGAGTAGGTGATGGCATAGTGACGTGGATCAGTGTTTAGTGTGTTCCTGGCCAGATTTTGAAAGCATGTTCGGTTTTAGCCAGTCCGTACTGCAATCTCTCCTCTACCTACCAGTTGGGTTTAGGTTTTTGCCACGAATATTCCTTTTAAAATTTTGAAGCACAAATGATTCATCCTGGGTGATGGAAACATCCCTTTTGAAATACTGCCTGTTTTATAAAGAATTAGTTGAGAAAATTAATTTTTTTAAAGACAACCTTCTTTAAATTGGTTCTTTTTATTACAACGATTGAGAGTTTTATGTTAAAATTTTCAGCGATTTTTACTACTTGTAAACAAACAGGATTTTAAATTTCATCCCATTCCTAACAAAGAAAAAAAATGTTGTATAGCATGAATTGTCAGGAAGAATTTTGATGTTGCATGAAAAACACCAAAACCTTTTCAATACTATTGTACTGGGTAAGCAACCAAAAGAGCGTAGGCGATTTCTACATCAGCATACAGTGCGATTTTAATGTATTTATTGACAGTTTGTAGTTGTTTGAATATCTCTTACTATGACACAGGCATTTTTCTAGCCAAACGTCACTACTGTATATGTAAACTAATTAAGAATAAATAATTTTACCATCCTTCTGGAGTGAGTGTGGCATATATTCCTTCTGGCTGGATTTAAGCAGAATTTTTAGCAGGATGCAGAGTGCTGGGTATTTGCACCCGAAACTTTGTTTACAGTCCAAAAAACCCCCGACGCTGCTTTAGATTAAGAATCGGTGTCCTTCACACGTGTTTTGGTTTATACTCAAATATCGTAAAGCAGCTGCACATAGAAGTTCAGTAAATTCTAAGCTAAACTAGGCCAGACAGAGATCCATGAGGTCTGAGGATCCATCGGAATCGAACCAGGATGTTATTTCTGTTTGGAGCAGGTTTGGGCTCAGCTTGAGGTTGGATTTGTTTCAGTTCAGGCCAGGAGAAGAGGAGTTGTTCCAGTATCTCACGATTGCTTGAGAACACGGTATTTTAAAAAGGGGAATGGAAAACTTGTGGTTAAGCCCAAAGTGTTGGAAATCAGCTTGGGAAAAATGTTAGCATCTGACTCCTGTTTCTCTGTGAGAGCTCAAACCCCCATTCGGTGCCGCGGCGTGTCCCAGCTCCCTAAACAGGGCAGGTGGGGACACGCGGGAGCAGCCTGCGTGCCGCAAGAGCGAGCGGGGGATGCGGTCCCGGGGCAGGACTCAAGGTGGTGACGCGCCGAAGGGCCGTGCCCGTGTGCGGTGCGCAGCGGCGGGATGGCGGGGGCGGCCGGGGCTGGCGGCTCTGCCTCG